CTCCCCACCCCCATGATTCTATTCCAACCTACTAATAGAGTCGTCCTCGTGTACTCTTTTACTTGTCAGGCGAAACTATCACGGTATTGACCCCACGCTCGGCCGGATAATCGACTGAAAATAACCCCAAGAGACACAGGCCCCCTTGGTTCCCCGGACGCAGCCTCCCGAATACAAAATCGGTGCATCTGTTCCGTTGTTCGTGAAAGGAACGAATGACTCCGACAATTAGAGAGCAGAAATCCCGGCGAAGCGCTTTTACGAGCTTCTTCTTTTCTTGCTCACGCGATCCGCGGAGATTGCGCCTGCCTGCTATGGGGTGGAATCGGTCAGATTAAATCGGTCGGAGGAACGATTACGTCCTGTCTGGATGGAAATAATGCGAATCAGGGGCTGGTACTCGCTGCCGCGGACCAAAGAATTAGAATCTCTTTTGAATTTCTCTTGGATCGACGATTAGTGCTGGAATTGAAGTACCTGCCTGTAGGATAAAGCAACGATTTCCATCCTTTTCCGTCTCATGACACGCGTAAACTAATTATTAAAAATTAAAATAACAAAGATACGTTACGCAAAGTTTGCTTCAATTACTCGTATTAACAAATAATGATAAAAGCTCGATACCTTCCTATTGATTCTCGATCTCTCGGAAAATCAAATAGAAGATTCCATCGCAACCAAACCACCTCCTCGAATGGAAAGAAGAAATCAAGAAATAGAAAGACCAATGGGTCACTTGTAATTAAATGCGCCATTAAGCGGGCTTTGACGAGCGCGGAGAGTTAACCCTGATACAATGGCCAGGCAACGTAAACAACGAAAGACCGATCTTTGTCGTCTAATTCAGGAACACGGTGGGTGGGCAATGGCCATGACAAAAGACACATTTAGTTAAATGCAAGGCGCGAGCCCGCGTGCCGCATTGTTTTGATCCGGTTTGAGTGGGTACAATTAGATCACGCTGCCGGCGCTATAGTTTCGACCCCCTATCGAGCCAGAGGGGACCCGGATTGGCTTCGTTGTAAGCCAACGCGATACCAGGCCAGTTTTAGCGTGCAACGATGTACCGGTGGCGTGTCGCGAATCTCTTTTCATCGATCTGATGACCACCTCGTCCATTCGTGCGGTAAGTGGATAGAGTGGACTGCCAGTGGTACCTTGTCGAACACAGCTTGCCTACATAAGGGAGTCATTCATTTAATACTTGCCGCTTTTTTTCTTCTCCGCCATTTCCCTCTTTTTTGTTTGTCTAATCTTATTTCTCTCTCTCTCTCTCTCTCTCTCTTTCTCTCTCTCTCTCCTTTCTCTACTTTCCCCTTCCTCCGGTAACTACTAGACGAACCTGTCGGAAGCTGAATTGATCCAACTGAGTTTTTATTCATTTCTTAGTTCAACTACATAAATACATGAACGACACTCGATTCTCAAGAAACAAATAGTTCATTTGCATAAGTTCATCCGTTCTAAGGTAAATTTACACAACGTATTAAACAGAAACGTATATAACATATCATCGCTTTTCTATACTTTTCGTTACGGAATGGATCGATGCGGTTTCCAAATGACTCGAATACGACGTTTACGAGGGAAACGAAACGAACTACTTAATTGGTGAAGATCAGACAAGAACGAGAATTGGATAAACGGTCCAAATACTAACTGCCAGATTAACGTGAGTCTAACGTGATCGATTCTTTCCCTAATGCTTCTAGATCGAAGCTTCTCAATAGACCAGGGTCTCTTTCAAAGTCTCTTCACGATTTTGTGCAACGGAGAGAATCTAACCGTGAAACGTTGCCAACGTGTCCCATTTGGAACGGTGACGATCCATCTGAACAGAGATGAGAACACCGATGCAGTCGAACGGGGATAGCAGTCAAGGAGGAGGAATTCGTGGAGCGGCTGCAGCAGGGTAATCCGATTAGCCGATCACCTCCGAATGCGCCTCGTAACCGGAAAGCCAGTGTGAAAGTGCTAAACGAGCAATAAGAAAGTAATGGCAGTGTGTTCAAAGCAAAAAGCCAGCCCCTTTCGAAAGCAACATGGGCGGGCTTTCTACCACGAATCAACGACTGGTTGGAGGGGGTGGAAGAGTACACCGCCGCGGTAGCGGGTGCAATTACGGATTTTGAGTGACAGATGCTCGCCCAGTCGGCAGCCGGAAGATTAAAACAAGTAATCAAAGCCCCAGTAGCCACCCCGGGATGGATATGGATGGATGCATTCCCCTGCCTCCACTGGGTACAACCCCGCCGCTCCATTTCTCTCTATCTTCCTCTCTGTGTCTCGTTTTCGTGGCCGCGCCACGTTTTCCCTCCTTGCCTTGCTTCCTCGCCACCGACCGGGCCTAGCCAGCGAGGGTTACCACCAGCTACTATAATATCCACCTATCAAGCCGCGCTCTGAATGCTCCTTTAAGAAAATGTTCCTTTTTCGCTTCTCAGTACTCCTCAGCCGGGAGGTTATTAGACGGCTCCTATCCCTGGCAGAAAAAAAACGAGTGGCTGACAGGAGAGCAAGGGGAAGGACGAGAAAAGGAAACTCAAACGACCAGCGAGTTCTATTTCACGAGAAAACGATAGAGGATGCTCTTTGACGCGCGCGTTCGCTTGCTTCGATCGGCTCCGCTCGACAACAACCGGCCGGTTCGTCAGTCGACTCGCTTTCTTCCTTCTTCTCCTTTTACAACTTGTCCACGCGCTCACAACCAGCGTCACGACTATAGACTATAATCGCGGTGAAGACGATGCTAACAAAGTTAAGCGATTTGCCGCTTATTGTTATCCATGTGACAGAATGTAGCGTGAGATCTTTGGCACCTATGAATTTACGGGGATTACGAGTAGAGCGTTGAAGTGTTTGAGATTTACTTTCAGCATGATTTTTGTCGTAATTTTTATCGCGAAAATGATCTAATATCTTCTTTTATAATTATATCAGGTCACCACCCCATAAGTAGTACGATTTTTTTTTCATATATTAGATGAAAATAAAAGATTACCTGTGTTCGATCAATTGTTTATTTTTTTTTTTTTTTTTATTAATCTTTCCATTCCAACTTTGTAAAACCTTCATAGCAACAGTTTTAATCGTTTTAAATTCAACTCCCAAAAAAATCGTATTAGTTATACGTAGAATGACGTAATATTTCTAACAAATCTATCCCAAATTCCGTCTACATTTTCATCTCGAAATTAATGCATTAATCTAAAGTGTCTAAACACCATCCGTTTTATATTTCGAAATTAATGGATCAAGTTCGGTATGAAGGATTAACAAGCAGACTAGAGTGAACAGTGACGTTAAGGATAAATGTTAAGGTCGGTTAAGCGTTCGTTACGGGCAACAAAAGGAGCAATTAGAACAAGAAGCCGTATGATCGCAGCCCCAACAATCGCGAGGGCGGAACAAACCGACGACGATAGGCGACTAGAAAGTCGATTAGAGGAGGAAAATCCGCGTTCGCCTGCCGACGACATAATCCACGTTCACTCTTAATCGGACAGACATTACGACGGAATTGGCGAGCGTAAAAATGTGGTTCGATAATCGTTACGGCGAAACAATCACGGAGAAGTAGAATGAAGGAAAGAAAGAGAACAGAATGTAATTCGATTTCGCAAACTTTCTAAGAGACGAAGGCGCGAGTCGACGAAAAAATCCATTTTGCTATCGTGGCAACGATTGAATTCATAAGTTCTGGTACCTTTAAGCGTGCGTGCCACGATTTCAACCGATTATTCAGCATTTGTCTGACCTCTTTGTCCATCGGTATTTCTACTTTTCTCTACAAAAAAAAATATTGCGACATGAAGCACGTTGTAGCAACGGTGCGCGTGAATACGTAAAAATGAAATCTCTTTATTTTCAGCGTTTCTGTGATGAAGGCATACTTACGTTTCCGAATGAAAGATAAAAAATTGTTTTTGGTTTTTTTTTTTGTAAATGAAGAAAATAAATATTTCAATATTTTAATGATTTGATAGATGTCGAATAGATTTTGTTCGATGAACGTGAGCAATATCCCTTATCGATGCGCGACGACTCGACAGGACTCGAGGAGACGGAATATTTTTAATCTTGAGATTTCGGTTCGCAAAAGGCAGGATTGGATTTTATAGGGCGAAAAAGGATGAGCCGTTTATCTCTGGCGTCGCCTTTCAGTTTTTCCCTGCTTCTCGATCTATCTTATACATCGTTCGTCTTCCAACCCCTCTTCTTTGTTTACTTTATCCCTTCTTTCGGGGGCGTTACCGGCGTCGGTATCTTCTTTATGAAATAATAAGCTCTCTCTTTTAAATTCATCGCTAATGCGGTCCAGCCGATTCCCTAGATCGACCTCTTTGGCCACTCAAACCCCTTTGATAACGACCAATATCAATCTAAATATAAAACTTTCTATTGATTGATTAATTGAAAAAATCGATTCGATAAAATAAATATCTCTATATTAGTAGAGGATATTAAGCGATTTCTAAATGAAATTATCCCGTAATCATTTAAGCTATGATAATAATCTGTCTTATACTTTTCCATCGTTACTCCTTTCTTACACAAATTTGGGGAAAAACAGACTTTCAGAGATTTGTCCTATCGTCATTACTTTCATCGCTACAAAGAATAAAATTGACCAATACAAGATTGCTGTTCTCCTTCTACACTGACACTCCAAATTCGATTCTTGAATCCTCTGTATCACGCGCGTATGTACGAGACTGTTCACGGACCTTTTTCTCCCCCTTCTTACTTTCAATTCAAGCACCGCAAGCAGTTCCCTCATGGCCTTTGCTTCTGATACAAGAGTCTGAACATACATACCCTCCATTTTATAGCTGAAAAAGTTCCGTCTAAGAGCGGCCCGATTACATAAACGCGCATATTATCGTTCGTATTTTTCACAGCTTGAAAAAAAAAAGAAAGAAATTAAAATAAAGAATAATTTTTAAAAATTATGTAAGATTATAGAAGTAAGATTATCTCGTCTTCGTGATATTTGCAAGTATATATTAATATTTTATTTTTACTACTCCATATTACAATACATTATACGTTATACGTTTATGAAAACGGTTCGTTTGCAATGTTCAATTAACTGATTCAAAGTATTGTTTACTATCTTTTGGGTTTGGTTTAATAGTTTTAGAATCTGGCTGCCAGTTGGCAGGACAGACTTCTCCATGTTTTTCAACAAACTGAAATGCCTTGATGAGCCTCAATGTTTCATCTACGCTTCTACCCACTGGTAAATCATTTACGCTAAGCTGCCTCAATATTCCTTCTTTATCTATGATGAAAAGGCCTCTTAAAGCAACTCCAGAATCCGGGAGAAGGACATTATATTTAACCGATATTTCCTTGTTAAAATCACTGAGAAGAGGATAACCCAAATTGCCACCCAAGCCTCCCTGTTTTCTTGGCGTATTAGTCCATGCTAAATGACTAAAATGCGAGTCTGTAGAAACTCCAATCACTTGCGTATTCAGAGCTTTAAACTCTGAAATTTTCTCACTGAATGCTATCAATTCAGTGGGACACACAAATGTGCTAAAAATAAAGTTTTGTATTTATTTTAGAGAAAATATTTGGTTTTCTCTGGTCGTTCTCTATCGTTAAAACTTACAAGTCTAAAGGATAAAAGAAAAGCACAACATATTTTCCCCTGTAATCACTTAGGTTGATTTCCTTGAAATCACCATCAACCACGGCAGTTCCAGAAAACTCAGGTGCAGGTTTCTGAATCTGAAGCTGACAGGAAAAAAGATTGCTACTAACGCAAAGACTTCGAGCGTATTGCACTAACGTCGGCTGTCGAGTTTTAAACATCAAATTTGATGTTGCAACAAATACCTGTAAATGTATATATTACGTTGCATATTAAAATAAACTTCAGAACTTAAATGAATTAATGATTGATATCTCTATCAAGTTAATCGACTTACCGCTTTACATGTTTGGGAATGTAAAGATGCTAACAATCGAAGCATTATTAATATATAAATTATCGGTTACGTGGATGGAGAAGTATTTAAACGAACACGAGGCTACTTCACAAAATAATACTTATTCAAAGCTTACTCTCTGAAGGTTTGATAGTTTGTAGTTCTTAAAGAGGTTATATAACTCACTTTTCTTGTGAATAGCGCATTTTAATAAGAAATAATTACGAAAGATCACTGTATTACATTTATTTCAATTACATACAGATTTATTCACTTGCAAATTATTATAAAAATAATTGTTTAATCTCTTACGAAATATTCTCTTCAGAAATCAGGATACCCCTACAGTAAAATGTTAGAGGGCGACAAACGTAGGATTAAAATTCAAAACTGATCTATGGAATCGCCAATATTTCGATATCCAACTCGATACTTGAATTATTCCCGAACAATATAATCGGTCGTACTCGATTGATTGATAAGGTATAACTACTAATAAAATTAAATATTTATCAATATAACCATATTTTATTCAAATAACAATATTATAAGTTTTATGTTCATTCTTATTCAGTGGGGAAACATATATTTTATATGTATATTTATATATATATATAAACGATAATCGTAGCATATAAATTAATAACGTTTGGTTTCTCCTACAATGGGAAATATCACACTGTCCGTTGATAAATAATATTTAACTTTATAATTAACCGATGATTCATGATAATTTGTTCATTGTCGGTGAAACCAGATGTGCATTAAAAATAGAGATTTTTATTTCAGATAGGATTTGAAATTTGTTGAAAATTACGTTCATACGTTATATACGTTGTGTCCAATAAAAAATGCATTGGCCATTTGACTCATCCTCTATTTTGAAAAATGGAAACGATGTATTTCTTGATTATTACATATTATCTTTTTGAAGTAACACAAGTTCTTCTCTTATAACTTTAAAATATACACCGCACTTTGAAGCCTTACTACTAAAACATGATATACAGGTCTGCTTGCAGAGGCCACATCTTGCCTTCTGCACTCAAATTCTTTAGCTATCTATACAACAGAGCTTCTTTAAAAACAGTCATCCAAACAACGGCAATGTCATTGATTTATATAATCGCGATCCGAAAAAGATCTCTTTTTTCGTTCTTTTTTTGTTTTCTTTTTCGTTTTTTTTTTTGTTTTTTTTTTGTTTTTTGTTTAATTGGAAGCCGTTGCAGTTGCATTGGAAGCAGGGGTTGTAGCGGACGTTGATTCTTCTGTAACGATTCGTCGATTTTTTTTTATCCTTTTCCATTCACCATTCGTGTAATTCATTTGAAAATGTGTCTCGACTAACATAGGTACACTTGTACCATCCGGTTGCGTCACTTCTTCTATATTTTCCGAGAGCATTACTGTGACTATATTACCCAATTTCGGACAAGGATTATCTAAGCAATAAAAGATCATAGATAAGAGTGTTTATATTAAAAGATATTTGAAATTGTAACAAACAGGCGCATACCCCTTGAGCCAGCCATAAAACCTAGAATAAGGGCTTTTTCTGGTCGGGTTACTTTGTTAGCTGTTCTAAACATTTCTTGCGCCTCCAACATTTGTTCTCGCTACAAATACACAAAATAAATTAACGATCTTATAGAAGTATGAATCCTATATTGTAAATACTTCTACGTACCGTGAGAGACAAGCCTTTTCTTGTGTTTGCTGCTGCATTGGCAGGTTGTGCAGTAGTTTGTATACGAATTTGTGTAACTGTCTGAGCTGGTCTAACCGTTTGTACTCCGACAGGTGTACTTTCCACTGGTGTAATAACTGTTGGCGTCACAACAGGTACACCTGTACTCGGAGTTGAAGGTGTACCTGGTGTTGTAGCTGTATTAAAAAAAGAAATGAATTATTTTCTGTTCATCATATGTAACTATATACAAAAACATACGAGTTTGCGGCGTGGTTACTGCCGGTGCTCCAGTTGGAGGAGTAGATGTTGTATAAGATTGTATAGATGCTACAGGAGTAATTGGAGTAGCAGGTGGATTAATCGAACTTAAACCCTGAGCATACTCTGGCGTCGTTGATGTTTCTGTTGTAGTCGTAGCTGTTGATGCTGCGGCAGCTGCCAC